TTGATCGATGGAGTTGGCTTCTAGTGGTGCAGTGACGCGTCCTAAAACCCTTTAATAATCTATCGATTAGATTTATGATTCGAAAATTATAAAAATAGGGTAGACATGTGGATATTATCCAGCTGAACAAAACGTGCATTTATCAAACAGGTTTGTTTTCCACAGACCTTATTTCCATCTATTTTCCAAAATCCTGTGGAGAAATCCCATTGCTTTTTGTCGAGGGAACCAGCATCTTACTTCCTGGTTTTAGGACGCGTCACTGCACCTCTCAATATGATGCCAATATAAACAAGGTCTTCTGTCGGCTCTGTACATCAATGCCGACCTATGCTGACAAGTAAGTGAAGAGTAGACAATATAAAGGTATTGGCTTTAGGGAAATGTCCCAGCAGTTTAGGATAATGAAGGTTCTAATCTAATCAATTACATACTCATTACATTTCTAACTTCTAATGACAGGAAGGCAGAAAGCGCTTTATACAAATAATAATACTCATAATAATAGCAGACATTTTTTAACAATGACCACAATATCATTATTTTAATAAACCAAATATGAACAATTGAGGAAGAACTGATGATTCAAGTAGTAATGTAGTTAGTGCATAAATTACTATTGCAACAAATGTGTTAATTTTCTTCATTATTAGTCGACTTTTTTTTTTTGACGAATGCTCCGGGCCAGTGGTTACAATGGTGGGGCCAGTGATAATACAAGTCCACCGGCCCAGAGGGGCCAGTGGAAAAAAAATACACGTGCGTTAAAATAATTATTGGAGTTAAATGTTTTTTGCGTTATTAACGCGTTAACTTGACAGCCCTAGTACTTATATGATTCTTATTTCTTCAAGTCTGTATCTTCTTGGTCGAATGCACTTATTGTTATTCGCTTTGGATAAAAGCGTCAGCTAAATGCAATGTAATGTTATAAATTGCATGCTTGATGTCTTCCTCACTTAAAACCTTCTAGCCGTGTAAACAACAGATAGAATTCTTTATAAAACTGAAGAAAACACACACTTCTCATGGATGTCCAGAGGACTCCAGGCTTCACACATCATATATGCAACTGGATGAATCCAAACCACTTTTGACTTGTTCCAAGCATACATCGGCATTCCTTTTAGTGGAGTTTGGTCCTAAAGCGCCTTTTCCACAGCTTCTGTAGACAGCCTCTTATTTTTCAAAGATTTGATTACCCGCCACAGAAAGTACCGTTTAGCTTGTATAAAACATTTGTTATGCACCCGATCTTCTTCAGTTACAGAGGGGTACTGATTAGACCATTGGAAAAACAACAACTGATACACAGTATATCCACATTGTTTTTAGGAATAAAATTACAAATGTTATACCTTTTTTATTAGCAAGTACAGTAGAGGGATGCAATGCTGGCGCTGCAGTTCATCATCTGTGCCTTGTCCACCCTAATCTTTATCAATTCCATTATAACAAAAGTTCCAGATACAAAAGGCATGTCTTACAAACCAGACATTTGGTATAGACATTTTACAAGTCCCCAAACTATGTGGAACTACATTGGTTAACACTTAATATTAATTGTGTACTTGCATTCATTTGATCATTGCTAGTTAAATCCCTTTATCCATCTTTATTTATCTGCTCTCTCTCCCTATGTCTCAAGGCATTCACCTGTCCATCGTGTCGCAGTGTATTCTGTGTGGAGTGTGACCTCTTCATCCATGACTCGCTACACTGCTGCCCCTGCTGTCTTCACAGTCAGAGCCCCCCCTGATGCTGAGGGGCTGACTGTCCCACACAGACTGAAATAAACTCATAGGTCATGTGCCCTTATTGGCTCATCACATCGATCATATTTGTATCGTCCACTTCTGGCAGAGTAATATTGAACACAGGCTATGGATCATCCACATGGTTACAAGGTTCAAAGGTTTTGAAGATATGCAAAAAGAAATGTTTGGTTTGGTTGATCCTTTCATTTTGAAGGTGGTTGCAGTTTGTTGCTATATAGACCATGCTGGCCAAAGAGCTTCTCCTTTTTTTTTAGCGCTTCTGTTACTGCTGTTAAATGGCACATTGCATTATTTTTATAAGAAACAGTTTGATTGAATTGTTTATACGTTTGGTAGCATGCTACAGTTCTGTTTGTGACACGGCAGTTGGAATTTGACTTGGAACTTGTACTTATTATTTTTGTACTATAAAAGCACCATATAAATGCAGTCCATATGCCACCAATGTTGACTCCATATTTAAATGTGTACTTTTGGAACAAATAAATAAAATAATCACAACTCCCCCACAAAAATGGTATTCCTAGCATTATGGAAACGCCATCTACTTCATGATTTCCAACAGTGTTCGGGTTATTCCATAAGATGGCAGTGATGTAACGAAACGACTGTCCGCTGCAGTAAAACTCATAGAAGAAGAAGAATTCCGGCGGTTTCTTCGAGTGAATTCTGACCATCCTGACCTGACTGCAGGAAGCATTCTCAGATCTACAGAGAGACACTCGGAGCTCTGTCCCGGCCCTTCCAATGTCCCGCATGCTGAACGCTATCGTGGCGGTGTGTCCTGACCTGGGCATCGGGATGGACGGGCAATTGCCCTGGCATCCAGTTAGACTCAAGTAAGTCCCCTGATGGACGGAGGAGCCCGCTAACGTTGTAATACACTGACTGTGGGGGATAAGGCTGGAGTATATATAATGAGCAGCACAGTGGCGTAGTGTGACAGGTAGCCTGTGTGTTAGCTTAACAACTTTATGTTCTTCTTTTATAGTAACGAATTCAAACATTTCCGTAAGATGACAGCGACGCCCTCTGTGGAAGGTAAGCTCTATTCACCAGGTTCTGTGGGGAATCAAAGTGAATATGTTGAGTTACATGATGTTACTTTTGCTTACAACCACACATTCTATGTATAAAGGCATGTGGGTTATTCCAGAGTCGGAGGACATTTAGCTATCAAAACTTCCGCATAATGAACCCTTTATTTTCTAATTTTCTGTGATAGTTTTTAAGAAAAACAGCAAGTAAACCATCACATTGATTTGGGCAGCTCAGGCTTCAATGGTACATTTTATTAGATATTTTTTTGTTGCTATTTAAACGTTCCCAATGGTGTGCGAGATCTTTGAAATCAATAGAAAAAAAATTTTTACAATCAATTTTACTAAACTTTTTTTTTTTAAATTCAGAAAATGCAACCCTGTAACCTTAATTACTCTAATTATAGTAGCAGGGTTGCTAATCAATACTTATATTTGCCTTTACCTCAGGGATTATTGCTAGCTGCAGAATGTACTGCTACTTTAAAGACACGGACAAGATATTTAACTAAAGAAAGATGTCTCTGAAATGTTTTTTTGTCTTATTCTGATGATATGAGTAACGGGTGCATTAGAGTGGCACACTAGTTAAAGACTGAAAATATATGAAAAACACCAGAGGACTGACCTTTGGTCAGTGTAAAATGTCTGGTGTTTATGATATACATAAAGCTCTGTAAAAAAATAAGAGACCACTTCAAATGTTTCTTCAATCTCTACATGTATGGCAGCCATTACATTCCAGTGTCTGTTGAACACAGAGAAAGTTGTCAGTAGTTTATAGAAACATAGAAATTACAAATAATTTGAATCAAACAGAAACCTATAAATAGTCAAACCAGATAAACTAATAATGATGCAGTGGTCGCTTCATTTTTTTCAGAGCTGTATATCAACAAGATAATAGAAAAAAAAGGCTATTTTAATTTGACATGCAAGTTGGTCTACAAGGACGAGGAACATTTTAATTAATATGTTGGAAAAAAAATTCTACAACTGTATTTGCATTTTGTCTAAGTTAAAGTATATTTAACACAACAAGTGCATGTTTTTGCGTTTTGGGCATGGAATATTTGAAATTTCATAGGTGGGACGGAAAATGTCCTTCAATTTCTGGAATGACCCATTTAACAGGCTCCGTTTTTCAACCCTTTCCCAACTGCTGGTTCAAACGCACATGTGTTAATTTGACAGGTTAAGCACTATAGTATTTCATTTGTGATCATTCACTGCTACACTGCGCCCGTGTACAACACAATACATCATCTACTCTGTTAGTGGATGACATATGAGAATGACCCCAAATCTCAAATGAGCACACTTTTATTAACTGTGCTGTCTCTTGATGTATATGGTTTAGCTATTACAAATGACCAAAGTACCCAAGAACACCGGCCAATCGGACTCCAGTATTAGGCAAATGTCGATGGCTTATAAAACATATGATAGACAAGGGTCCACACACAGTGTTGAAATGTATGAAAACAAGTTAATCTAGAGATTTAATTCAGATCATTAAGACCACTGGATAATAATGGACAAGCTGATGGCGCTAGCCAGGAGTCAGACGGAATATCTGGAGTGTAGTTTAATGTGCTTTACGGAAACATAGTCTGACCCATGCACCAGGATTACTGTAACTGGCAATGTTTCCTTGGATGGCTTCTGGACTCTTTAGGCCGACATGTCTCCATCATGAGCCTGAGTCTTCAGAGACCAACGTGATTTGAGTTACAGTAGCACATGTTGTATGCATCGGATTGCTTTTTCCCCCTCAGTAATGCAGAAAATCTGATCAAGAATAATTTTATTTCATTTTGAATAAGGGAACATTTTATATTCTTTGTTTCTAATTAGCTCCTAAATATTTGCAAGTTGCATACCTAAATAGATCACCATAGAAGCCTATTTATGGGTATAGTTTACTATCATATGAAAGCGCTATAATTCCTTAATGTCACCACTCGGGAATAGGTTTTTATGCCTCGTCCTGATTTGCTGTAGTACGCTATAATCTGCTGGTATACTGCAGCTGATAGAATTCCAATTACAAAATTGATTAATCTATTGGTATTTATTACAGATAATATTGAATCTATACAATATATTTCACTTGGATTTGAACAATAACTAAAGGATTCTTATGAGACAGTGTCGTACCTTAATGCGAATTTGAGAATAACCTTTACATTTGCTGCATCTTTTTTATAGTTTAAGAACTGCGGAATGTCTAGTTGTCAAGAAATAAACGGGAGGCAAACATTGCATCAAGTAACACAGAAATTATTAGCCTGCCTTTTGGATTTAGAGGATTAGTACATTTATGCCATCATTCCTCTGTTATTTGTAGCAACCAGTTGCCTTATGCCATTATATTTGTTTTATATTCGAATAAGTCAGATATAGGCCACGATCGATCAAGTAGAATAATCAAATGACATGTTCATTTGACCAAATTGGCTTGCTTTATAAGAATGGGCACAGAGCCTGTGGAACAAAGCCTGCGTTAACTAAGACAGTTGATATCTATATACCTCTGTGGTACCGCTGATAAAGGTTCTGGTTTTGTCGAGCCAGCTAAGTCGAAGGAACCCTGGTCATTCCTGCTATGTGGTTTACCCCTCAGGGCTGTCCCCATAATTCTGGAGGATTTGCACAATAGTTTGTGGCACCAAAACCCCACTGAACATCACATGTCTAACTTTCTGGGCTGGCTGATTCTTACATTTCAGGTAAAGGGAGTGGATCTATAGGGCAGGCAGCAACGTTACGGAATAGCAATAAAAAGCTCCACCCCCCAAGTACCACTCTGTTCTCTGTTACATCACTGCTGACAACAAAATGTTACAATAATCCTGGATGAAACAAAGGGTTTAGTTTTTGCACCAGCCATGTATAAAAAGGCTTGATTGTTGTCTATGTTTTATAGGTGAAGGAAGACGATCTTTGTAACACCTGGTATTGAACAAAAGAGAGGCTTGAATTCCATGTAACACCAACATTGTTCGGTGTCTGACTTAAGATATCAAAGTTGTCTTTTACTAAATCAAACTGGTGCCGACAGTATGTCAAGAGGGTTTTATGACCAGCATCTCAGTTTATCTGTAATTATTGGAATGCTGTTTTCTTCTTTTCTTTAATCATCTTCTTCTTTTAAAAAAATTATTTCACCAAATAGTTTGGCTCTCAATAACTTCAGCCTACTTTCAGCTACAGAAACCATTAAAATATCAAAATATTCTTCCTTTTCAGCACATGATGGACTTTTTAAACTCTTTTTTGAACATGTAACTCAATGGGAGGAACCTTCAAGTCCTCTTTTATCTACACCTTGCGCCAAATGCTACTCCTTCCACATACTTTCAGCTAGAGACTTTATTCCAACTTTAAAACGGTCACAAGACATTGTATCAGGGGCAAAACAGGCCATGGTGGCCGTAGGACGTACAATTATTTTCGGGGCTTCACGGCCAGACCGAGGGGCAATGACGGCATGGCCGTCATGGCCGCCGGTGAAAATCCTACCCTGCTCCGCGGTCTTAAAATCCCCACAATGCTTTGCGCACGGACCAATTTCCAAATCTACACACTTACTTGGTCTCTGTAGCTAAAAGCAGCTACAGAGACCATTCAACTATTAAAATGTTCAGCTTTTTCTGTATTTTCAGCTAAATTCAGCAAAGAATTTGCGCAGCCTACAGCATTCGCACGCATTTTCTGCAGGAAATGCATTTTCTAGTTAGACTAGCACTTCCTTGCTGTATCTATAATTCTCACACCTTCACATAGAAGGAATTAGCAAAGAGTCCTAAATTAACATCTTGTCATCCCATGACTTTTGGATATCTCTGAAATGTTGGACATTGTAAAATTAGCAGCAGTGTAAAATAAACAAGAATATTAATAATGCGACAAAGGAAAAACATATTGGGGAATTCCCTTGCAGAGTGTCTCTTACAATACTCATTAGGCTTAATTAAGGATTTATCTTTGAGAAATGTTAAAATCTATAACTTATCTAAGAAAGTTGGATAAATCTTCACCACTGGTCAAGGAGTGTTGACTAAAAATGCATGAATTCATTTATTTAAACCTTGCTGTCCTGCAGGCAAGCAGAATGTGGTGATAATGGGCAGGAAAACATGGTTTTCCATCCCAGAGAAGAACAGACCCCTAAACAACAGGATCAATATCGTCCTCAGCAGGGAGTGCAGGTATGTGTCACACACAGTGCATGCTACTATAAAGCAGGGTGTACAAACAACATCAATGGGATGTTGTTGTTTTTTTAGGTATAACATTTTTATGTATTCTTGGAAGACGGAACTTACCTCTGATATGAAATGCTCCTTTTAAAGGTCAACAAAATGGTGTCATTTTAAAACTTACCATAACCATCATCAATGCTGGCATTGGGAGTGACTTGAGGCCTGAGGCAGACAGAGAGCGTTTTGCAGGTCAAAAACCCAAGGTGCACTGCCTTTTTTGTTGAATATACTTAGATGACGGGGTTGAGTCTAAGGTTGCTCAATTCATATAGCTCCTGATATCCAGCAACCTCAGATCAATTGCAAAATAGGAAAGGAAAAAATAAAAGCAATGACGTAGGGCACAATTACATTCCAAGTGAACGTTTTCTTTAAACTCTATACCAGGGGTGTCAAACTCAATTTCATCGCGGGCCCCATTAGCATTATGGTTGCACTCAAAGGGCCAGTTGTAACTATATAAATATATAATATATATATATATATAAAATAATGTATTATATTAAATTATTGCCTCTGAATTGGGTTATTATCGGATTGGGTAATAACTAACTAAGTTTGAAAGCAGAAGTCCAGGGCAAATAATTGCAAGTCTCTTCAGTGCGCATGTCACAAAACGAGATGCGTTGTGGGACAGGCCTCTGTAAAGTGGCATGTAACCGTATAATAAACGTATTATATTCTTTGCAAGCTCTTGCGGGCCACATTAAATGAAGTCGCGGGCCGGATTTGGCCCCCGGGCCTTGAGT